AGCGGCGGCTTGACTGGGGTGGTTTTGATGACCGAGACCAAGACGCGCTTCGGGGAGTTTCCCGAACACACGATGACGGCCGGAGGGCCTGGCCGCTCAGACATCCTGCGCCAGTCCGAGATGCTTGCTTCTTGATCCGCGGTGGTTGGTACCGCCAGCACTTCCGCGGGCGCTTCACTTGGCTTTTTCTTTGGGGTCCGAAAAGGAACGCCTCAGGTATGCATGGCAGGAAGACTCCTTCGTGGAGATGCCAATCCCATGCAGTCTCTGCCCGGCTCTCTGAAGCAATCGCAGCTTCTCACCATCAGCAGCAGCAGCAACCCCGACCACCACTACCGAGCCCCAGACTTTCCCGCGTTACATTTCGCGCCTGGGCGGAACCAATTGTCGAGTCAGCTGTAGACGTCAGGGGAGTGACGGGCCCTTCCAGCCAATCACTAAGAAAGGCAACACCCACCCTCCTCCGTTCAAAGGCTGGACGCTTAGAAAAGAGACGCGTTGGGTGGGGCTTCGGCGTATTCGGGTTCGCCCATTGGCTAACATTTTATGACGCTAGCCAACAGAATTCGAAAGTTGTCTGGGAGGGTGGGCCGCCGGTATTCATCAAAGCCGGCCTCCATCTTTCCTCATGCGAACGGTTTGGTTATTAGCGATAGGTCCCGGCTGGAGGGAGCCGCGTCTCTTGCTGGCGGTAAAATATTCTGCAAACGTGCTTCGAAGAGAGAGGGGATGTTTAGCGTCCAGCCTTTTGCAAACACCAACTCAGCCCAGCTTCCTAGGCGCGCTGTGCGGAGCACCATCTGATCTCTTATCATGTGATGTATTTAAAGAGCAGAGTGCGGGAACGGTAAACATGAATTGCAGCTTCAGAAGCCGTTCGGTTTACGAGAAGAACCGAATACCTGAAAGACACTGGAGTTAAGTCTCCCGTCATCATAAGTATCCTGTGTAAACTATACAAATGTGCTCAGAGCTAGAAACGTGCCCATGGACCGTAAGGTTGTCTTGTCCTTGTCTAGTGCACGAAGTGAGGTGCTTGACATCATTTTGGCTCAGCTGTCCACACTTAACCTTTCTCATCCAGTCATCTAAAATGACTTTGTCCAGAATGTGTTGATATCTGAGATAAGATCTAGCTAAGCTGACATATGCCCTGGTTACATAAAAACTGGATTATTGGAATGTGTTCTATTTGGAGCTACTTTTGAAGAATTTTTGGAAACTGCGACACAGTCAGAATGAAAACAGCCTTTAAAAGGCTGGCTCTGTGCTTGCAGGATCATATTAAAATTTGCCTTGCCAACATTGCTGATTACTTACCTGTTTTGGGGCACAGTTTTTTTTAATAAACTTTGAAGCCATAAGGAGTTAGATCCTGAACATTTTATTGACACCTTTTCTCATAATAGTCTTGCTGCTCTCTAGTATTGGATGAAAATTCTTCTATTTTTTCTAACAAGATAGTAAGACTAACGCTACCTTGCTGGATGAGGCCAAAGCCCATGTTATTCCTGTATTTTATTTCTCATATTGGCCAATCATGCCTCTGGGGTGCTTGAAAGCAGAAGATGGAGACTTACCACTTGTTGCTCTCCAACTGATACTTGGAAGCATGCTGCAGAGGAGAGAAAACAGCAGCTACAACCATGTGATTGAAGTCTTGCTCCTTATGTGTGTGTATGCTCCAACCCAGGTGTAAGGATGAGTCTAACAGCTCTTGTTAGATGTTTCCTCCACAAATTTATCCAGTCACTCTCAATTATGGCACATAGCTTTTTGATGGCCATAGCCATCCACAGGTCATTGCAATGATGAAGAAATTGTGTGCATGCAGTGACATCACAATGCAAACCCCAGCCTTTTGTATTTGTATTTGATTTAAAATGCAAGTAAGTAGATCATATACTTTGTCTTGTGATGCCATGACACACATTTCCTCACTTCCTCCCCCTGGATACCTGTGTTGATGGTCTTTTGCAGCTTGTTGGACCTTTTTGTTCATGAAGGCATTTGTTTAACAAATAAATATAAAAATATATTTAATCCCCCATTTCCTTTTTTTAAAAAAAATCCCCCCCCCCTTTTTGTATTTTCATGATTCCGGTTGCAGATAACTGCTGTGAGTTGCATGTTAACCTCAGAAGGGCAGGATATAAATAATTATATAATAAAATCTCAATTTAACATGCTACATTTTAACATATTTCAGGGGTAATGGACATCCACTCCAAATTATTATTTCCATTAAAATAATTTCATTAAATAAACTAGCATTTTTAATACTTCTGGGAAGATTAAGGGAATGGGTGTGCCAGTGGGAAGATTAGAGGCAGTAAAGCCAGTGAAAAGATTGTGTTGGTGGGTACAGTCTGATATTCTGCACATGACATTGGTGCAATAGCAGTGGGAAGGTGCTTTCCTTAACTTCCATCCACAGTGCAGGGAGGTGGCTTAGGCTTGATTTCCTGGAGGCTGCACAAGTCTTTTCTGCTCCCTTAGAGCAAGTAACCTGGTTTTTCCTGGCTGTCTCCATACCAATTGAAGGAGGTGCTGGACGAGATGGCAGCTATAGAGCCAAGCCTTGTTGGTTTGGAAGAACCAGGAGGCCTAATGCATACTTTTAAGTACATGCAAAATGGCATATGGGCTAAAGAAGCATGAACAGAAGTACCTTTAAGATTTAATGGACCTTCACATTTAATAGAAACTCCTTCCTCTCAACAGATTTTTAAATTGAGATTTAACTGTATAAATGAATAAATCTCGTGCAAGCTGGTTGGCATAATAATAGGGGATATTTGGGCTTAAGTGTATAACTGATTTTGGTTGATCTCAAACTGAGGGCCACGTGTTTAGTGCTTATTTACTACAGCATACTAATAGTTTGCGGTTAAGTTTCAAGAGGATGTGGTTGTGCAACAGGTATCTGACAGTAGATGGAAAGTTATTGTACTTTGAAAAGGAGAAGAGGACTGGTTTTGAGATATCCAGAAACCACTGAGTGACCTTGTTATGAGACCACCTGTGACCCTAGTGTAATCTAAAGCTAATTAACATAGCAAAACACATACCCCTAAGGTAGAAATTTTAGAAAACATAGAACATGCTACGCTTATTATAGGATGTTAGTATGTAATATGGAATCAAGTGCATCTGTGCCCTATTTTTGAAAAGTATAAAGATTGATGTAAAATGTTACTCAAGGTTCCTCCCCTTGGAGAGATGGAACGTTTCTGCTGAAGCGCTTCAATAAAAAGAATAAAAGGACTCGGTGTGTGGATTGGACCTTATGTGCCGGGTAGATGAATGTGCCACTCTTTTGTGGCCAACAAAAAAACTAAGCAAAGTCAGATCTGGTTAATACTTAAACATATGATGAGCAGGAAATGTTAGGATTGTAAGATAAACTGGTATCTATCTGTCAATCAATCCTGGAAGAAGGGAATGGCAAGCCTCTTCAGTACTATTGCCAAGGAAAATACATGGACATATCTACAGTATTAACTTGCCATAGTGTCTGTATATATCTGGTGAGTTAAGCTCATTATGTACATTTTTAATATCCTTTCAAATAGCAAATCATATATGGCTAAAAATTACTTCTTGAACTTGTCTTCTTAGGTCCAAAAAACAAATCACCATGAAATGCTTTTGACTAGTTTGAGGAAGGCTATGGATTTTATATTGCCAATCTGTTACGATAGAGACATCCTAAAGCAAAAGCTGAAAGGCACAGCTTAGTCATTTGGGAACAGTTTGCATAAAACTATATGCTTTGAATGAATTTTGCTCTACCTTTAACACAATTTTTTTTTGCTCTTCACGCTTGCACATTAATATCATGTCCATACGTGCATAGGAGCCAGGGTGCAATGTAGTCGTTAAGATGTTGGACTAAAACCAGAGAGATTCAAGACCACCTTCAGTCATTGGACCAGTCAGTTTCTTCACCTAGAGTGGTTTATTGTTGTTTCAGTATTAGTATCAGTGTTGCCATAGTAGTTAAGCAACAGTCAAATCTTTTCCCCCCAGACAGAACTTTGATAACACCGTACTGAAAACGCCCCCCGACTCAAGGCTCCAGCACGTGACGCCACAGACGCTCTACGTCATCGGCCAGCGGCGTGGGAAATTTTTGAGCGGAGGGAATCCCGTGTTTTCGTTGGTTGACTGAGGCGGAATTGCGGATGCTGATTGGTTAATAACGCTACACGTTTGTGAGGCGCATTATTGGGTAGGGCGATAAGCAGCGGAGCGTGTGGATTGGTTGATCAGGCAGGACTGGAGGCATTACTGGCTCGTCGATTGGGCAGTGCAGTCGGACGGGGCGGGCGAGTGGTCATGGCGTGGTTACTTGGGCCGCGCTGAGGAGGACTTGCTTCTTTCTGTCGCATTCGGGAAGGGGTAGCTGCCGCTGCGGCTGCCACCACAATGAAAGGCGTGCTGGCCAGCCCTGTGGCCGCCGCCACAACTATGCAGGAGAGCTTTGGCTGTGCCGTCGCCAACCGCTTCCACCAGCTGCTCGACGACGAGTCCGACCCTTTCGACATCCTCCGCGAGGCAGAGCGGCGCAAGCAGCAGAGCAAGAAGCGCGAAGAAGCGGCTGTTTCAACCGGCAGAAAGACCGGCCCTGGAGGAGTCGCTGCTGCCACCGCTGTCAAAAGAGAATCCCAGAAGGAGCGAAAAGGCTCCCCGTTCTTTCAGTCGGAGAGCCCCCCAGCACCTGGTATGAAGCGGGAGGGGGCTTGCATGGACCAGGGATGGTAAGCAGTTGATTCCGCCGGGAGTGGGAAAGTGGCCAATGGCGCAGACTGAATTCGGCGAGCTTGCTTGGAAATAAGCATCCTTTGATCGCTCCCCTTGCCCGTAGAGTCCGTGACTCGCATTGTAGCATCAGATGTGCCTTTTCCCGAGTAAATCTCATTAATTTCCATTAAACTCACTTATAGGTAAATGGGCAGAGACTTGCAGGCTTACACGGACATTTGCTTCACGGCACACTTAAATTGGGCGTTCATTAAAGTAGGTCTCTCCCAGTCTGTTCAAAGCGATGCGTCAAAGAACAAGAGAAGGAATAAGAATCAGTCTGTCAGTTATTAAAAGTCTGAAGGCGGGTAGTCCTAGTTTGGATCAATGAAGGCGGTGTGCCTGGACTAGGAGCCCGCGCCGGTCCTGGCCCTTTCCGGACGCACGTGCGTTCTTCCCTCTCTTTCTGCCTTTCTGTCGCCGGCGCTTCCCGCCTGAAGATACCGCGAACGAAAAGGGGCATCTTTATGGCTTGGAATGGAAGTGGAGGAGGGTGAAGCAGCCACCTGCCGGCCTTACGCCTAGCTCGCGGCTCCTCTCTGGGCGGGCCGGGGCGAGTCTCCGATCTGGGACCGGAGTGGGAGGGTCATCCGCGTAAGGGCGCGAGCTATTGTGGCGTCTGGCGGAGAGGTTTTTTTTCCCAGCGGCGTTTACCGCAGGTGGTGCATGTGCTGAAAGCGAAGGGCGGCTCTAACTTCCCGTGGTGTTCGGCCTCCGCCTTCAGACCTAATTAACAGGGCTAGTCGGCGCCAAGAGATAGCGAAAGCCTCCCCGCCCATCGCTTCATCAGCGGAAAGGCGCTTTCCACCAAGCTGGGTTTGCTGTCTTCGGGACTCTTGTACAGTACATGTGAACTGGCTGCGTCTCCCTACATCCTTAAACCGAACCGGAAAAGTGATGCCAGCTTGCTTTAGCGGAGACAATTTCATAATACTTTGATGCTTTTCTCTTTTGAAATGATTTTCACACAACTCAGATTCATACATTTATTGAATCATTGTTTAAAACTGCCTTTCACCTATTGGGGACTGTATCCTTCCCCAATCTTTGCCCACTGGCCATACTGGAGTCATGCCGAGTTGTAGTAGATTATCACTTAAAAAAAAATTAAATGTATGAACGAAACAGGTTAAAAGGAGGTACGTAGTAGGGTGTGTGCCGTGAGAAATATGCCAGAAATATTTTTGATGGTCATTTTCTCTTTCATTGTAAATTATAATGAAGCATAGTGCTCTCTGGACCAGTTAAATCCCTAAGTATTTATTATCCACATACCATTGGCTTGAACCTGAATTACTGTACTGGGTTGAGCCAGAGTGTGCAGTTTTAGCAGTGTAGTCCTGACTGCCTTAGGAACCACAGAAATGAGTGGTATTTTGTGTACATATATACACATACATTAAATTCTCAGAGATATCTCACAGGGTGGTTGTTGTGGGGAAAATAGGAGGAGGAAGTAGTATATATGTTTACTGCCTTGAGTTACTTATTAAAAAAAATACAGATGGGATAAAAATCTAATAAATATTTTCCAGCAGAAAGATGGTATGTCCGTAGATTATACTTATAGGTCTGTATGAGGTAGCTTGGCTTCATCTCCGTGAGGACTTTGGTGCCATAGTAGTGACCTATAGAGCTGTACAGTTGTTTGGATTTGATAGGGAAAAGGTGCTTTTGCTGGTGGGCAAATCATGTAACATCTCTTGGCAGTTTTTTAAACTAAATGCAACACTCACATTATTATTATTACTGTTGTTCCACTTTTTTTTAATATATAAAACATACCTAATACTCCTGTCTCCTGATTTACCCACAACAAGAGCCCTGTGAGGTAGGTTGGGCTGAGTGACTGGCCCAGAGTCACCCAGCCGGCTTTCATGCCTAAAGGAGGCCTAGAACCCCCAGTCTTCCTGGTTTCTTGGCCAGCACTTTAACCATTACACCAAACTGGCTTTATACAATATATCAAATTACATAGCTGCTTTAAGGAGTTGCAGACAGATGAAACGTCTGGACCCTTAAGCAATCCAAAGGGCTTTTTTTCCTTTGAATCTCAAGTGCTCCAAAACCCTAGTAAGTTTCATGACTCTGCAAATTAAATTGAGGTATATTATGTAGACAGTACACCTGAAGTGGCCCTTTCTTTTTGTCCCTTATTTTTCCTGTTCATTTAGGGAAAACTAAAATGAACAAGGAAGGAATAAGAGTATATGCTGTTCTTTAAGGTATGTGCATATTTTGGTCTAAACCACAATATCATCCCCAAGTCAACAGAACAGCATCTTTTCCTCAGTCAGGATCTGGCCGTCTATTGAATAGGATATGGATATTTGGCTCTATAGGAAGAGATTTTGTGATCTCTCTACAACAAAGATTAGCAGCCTATGGACTTCATTAAGCCTCTCCAGCATCACCTTTGTGGCTTCTAGATTCCCCAAATGGACAAGGCTAAAGTATGTGGGTGTACCGGAATCTAACATGTTGCTACAAAATATTTTCTAACAATCCCATGTGGAGGTATGCAAAACTAATTGATTTGAATTGGTAAATTTTGTGTAAATGTAGTCTCATGTCTGTATATGGCAGCTACAGTTACCAATTTTGTACAAGCTCTTGCAGGAAGTTCAGTCTAAATAACTTATCAAGTGCTTGCATTTGTTTTTATTCTTTAAGAATTCTCAAACTCAAACTGACATAAAGTAGCTGCTTCCCTGTCTCAGATTATCTTACTTTTTCCAGAGATAGTATTCTGGTGTATGAAGCCACTTTGTCTCCAGAGCCACTTTGTATTTACAAAAATGTACATTATGTCACAATGCACCTATAAATCCTTCATTTTCTAATGTAAGATGCCTTATTGCTCTTGGTCTCCAAATTGAAACCATCTACTAAAGTTGAGAAAGATTGAGTTTCTTATAGATAATGAAGAACATGGGTTGATTTGCTCTTATTTTTCCATAGTTTGTTAAATTGTTTTTAGTGTACCTTTTTTTTTTCAGAAATTAACTTGAGAAATGGAAATATATATCTATATATCTATATATCTATATCTGCGTGTTTTCAAACTTGAGATGATGTTGTTTTTGTAAGGGAAAAATGTTACTTTCCTAATGGACATTTTGATGAAGTTAAGTTTAAGTTGATTTATAAGGTCTATATTCCAAATACGTTGTTTTAATTTTGTATTGGGCCATAATGAGTCATGTAAAATCTTTGGGGTGCATACACATTTTAATAAATATAAATGATCCTTCATGAAATAGGTGTGTTCAATTTATATGTAAATGTTGATTATATTTTGTTGTTACATCACGTAAATATTTATTTATTACAAAACTTATATCCCACCCCACATGATTGATTCTGGGTGCCTCATAGTCATCAAAACAATATATTAAAATAACATAACCAAAATGAACATCAGTATATAGGAACTGATGTCATGTTCTTTGAAAAAAGGAGGAGGGAAAAAAAGAAGCTAATGTTAAAACTACTAATCCTATATGTTAATACCAACATATTTTGTTAGAATTTATAACTGATACAATTCTGAAGGTTCTACTATAATTTTAGTTTTAAAAATGTATTGTTCACCCTGTAGCAGATAGCATGCTTGATACAACAAATAGAATCTTAAATTCCATAGGCAGTAAATCAGAATACAGCTCTGTTCAGCGAAGCCAAAATGTAAGTAAAGTGGAAATTAACTGCATAGAATGTGAAAAGATACCAGAATCAGACTTTAATACAACATAAAAAATGTATATGAAGATTAAAGAACCAAAGAATAAATAGGTGTTTGCCTGCAGCAGATAGAACAGTAGGCATTTGGCAGACCTGTTTCAAGGTTATTCCATAACATAATTCCATATATTATTTATCCATTGAGACAACTATGGATAACTATAGCTCATTAATGGGTTATTATTGAAAGTATCCCTTGCTGGCTGAGCAGATGTACCTCAATCTGTGGAACAGCATCTCTGATGACCTGTGGACTAGTTTAGGAATATATGAGAAATATTTAGCTCAATCTGGGTAATTTCCAGGTGGGTTGATTTCAGCTCCTAGAATTCTCTGCCATAGCTACTCTGGCTAGGAATTCTTAGCATTGAAATATGTACTTTTGGAGGTTTCCACCTCTGGTTGGGAAACAGTTTTAGAGTTGAATTATGAAGGGCTTTATACGGAAGTTACTGAAGGTGATGCAATATTTGTATGATGCGCTATCATGCTCAGTGATAAAAAAAAACCACTGAGAAGTGGGAGAATGAACAGGATTATAATCCATGTCTCTTTCCTGCCATAGATCATTGCACAGAGCAACTAAGATAGTTTTAGTTCTAAAATCAGGGTTAAACTCTGATTTAAATGGATGCAAACAACATTTTTATTCAGGAATACTTCGATCTGATTAGCAGACCTACAAAATTTCTTACACTGAAATAATTTTTATAGTAATTCTGTTTACAAGAGTTATTGGCGGGTGTTCTATGGCTATGAAATTCCATATCCTTTGGAATGTCCCTTCAAATCCTTTGTTTAGCATCCTTTTAAGTGAAACTATTTTGAACATCGTAGAATAGGCTTTTTTCATATACAGGTAGTCCCCAGGTTACGAACGCCTGGTTTACGGATGACCCATAGTTAGGAATGGAGCCTATTGTAGCAAAATTTGAGTTAAATACACAATGATTCAAGTTAAATACACAGTGGTTTGAGTTAATTACACAATACTACTTATACAGAATTATACAAATATTCCTGCCTACATACAAATTCAACTTAAGGACAGACCTTGGGAATGGAACTCATTCTTAAACTGGGGCCTACCTATATATATTTCAGTGTAGTTAAATGTGTGAAGTCTAATCCTTCTGAAGGTTTTTTCTGTTGTTTATACTGTAAGGAAAGTTGCCTTGCTTGGTTATGTCTTATGTAGACATACATACATAACACCTTGACAAACTTTTCTTCAGTGTGTTGAAGTTGCCTTAAGGGCTCTCAAGACTAATCTCTTTACTTCAAAGCAGTATTAATTTCTTGTTGTCTTTCAGTATTTTTCATGTGTGTGAAACTTGGGGTGGAGCTCCAGCCTATTAAATTATATAAAAGTCTATATAGCAGAAATGTATTTTTTCTGTCTTGTTTGCTACCACAGCAGCATTGTAATGACTTCACTGGATAAGGCATTTTGTGCCACTCTACTTTCATTGCAATGCCACTCATGTTGACAATGATATTTTCTTTTAAAATATTGTTATAGTACTTGTTCTGCTTCATAGAGTATTGGACTATGCACAACCATTTTTCTAAAAGAATACAGACTACAAAAGCAATTGTGTAAGTGTTCTGAGGAAGCACATTCCATAGTGTGGGAGTCTGTATACATGCCTTGCACTGAAGTTTCCTGTTTGACCATCTGTTTAAGCATTCCACTCTGATTAATAACAGCTATCTGGAATCTCCACCAAAGCGTTGTTTTTGGATATACTACATGTATCTGTAGTCAAACATTTCTCATGAATGGATTTTGGAAACTTTCTTCATGAAAGAAATGTATTGATAAACTTTGGTCAGGTTATTTACCATGCTGATTCTGTGAGATGTACTGTTTTTACCCTTTCACTCAAAATGAGTCTTTTGCAAAGCTTCAAGCTCAGTGGTTACATGGTAAAACTGAATCCTGGAAACCTGAATTAAAAGAAACTCTGATAGTAATTTAATTTGAATAACAACTTGGGATATTTTCTAACTTCTGTGCAAATAAACTTTTCAGTACAATGTTGGGTTGGTTAACACAAACAGAATTGATGAAGGGCTTTTGATAGCTGGCGTGATCTGATGTTCTTTCTTTTTAACACTTGGTTTGTTTGCTTTATGTCCTTTAATTCCCTTTGCAAACATCTCCCTACAATATCAGTCATTTAAAGAGACTGTGATTTTGTTTGGACATAGCAATGTATCCTTACACCTTGGAAGAATATTCTGCCACCTTTGAATTTAACAGTGTGCATCAGAATTATGGAATCTTGGTATAAATTAAAAGTATATAGTGTGATAATATGATTGGTATCAGCTGTGCAACCACATTCACTAAAATTTATAATGCAAAGTTACCCCCCCATTCTTTTTTTTTCTTTCTAAGAAACAGCACGTACTGTTGTAATAGTTGCATCCAGTCATGGTGTGAATGTTAGCCTAAAGTTGACTTGAGAGCTTTGCTTCATTGAAATCTAATTTGTGAGTACGGTATGCTGGCAAATTCAGAGATCTTTTTAAATGTTCCATAACTGTTTGTGTGTTGCTTTAATCTAGCATGGTTAACTTTTGTTTCTGATCAAAGTTGTTATCTTCTACTCTTAGGGAAATCCACAATAGATTATGCATCTTAGGGCCTCAAGCTCTGTTCCAGTTTGGGACACACAAGGGATAATGAAGTGGTATTGCACAAGCTTCCAGGGATTCATCCTTATGATTCTAGGAAAAAATAAAGTTCACAAGCCTGAAGCCTGGCCATTATATATACAGGTAGTCCTCGGTTAACAACCACTCATTCAGTGACCGTTCAAAGTTATGATGATGCTGAACGAAAGTCCTCGAAGTTCCAGCTGTCCCAGCAACCCCATGGTCATGTGATTGCAATCTGGGTGCTTGGCAACCAGCTCGCACTTATGACGGTTGCAGCATCCCACAGTCATGTGATTGACATTTGTCACCTTCCCTGACAGCTTCCCACAAGCAAAGTCAATGGGGAAGCTGGCAGGGAAGGTTGCAAGTCACTCAGGTAAGTCTCCCCACACTGTGCACCCTTCCCCAGCTGCCTGGGACTTGCAGCTTCCTGCCAGTTTCCCTACCGTCTTTGGTTGTGGGAAGCCGGCAGGAAGTTGCGAGGAGGTCCTTGCTTAACAACCTGAGAACTTCATTTAAGATCAGCAGCTGGACTGCAGGGATTGCTGTTGCTAAGCAATGCAGTCATGTGACATCTCACTTTATGACCACATCGCTTAGCAACAGAAATTCATGTCCCAATTACTGTCATTAAGCAAAGACTACCTGTATAGTGAAGTTAAGATTATTGCTGTGCCAGCAATAGATAGCTGTTGTTTTCTTGTTCATATATTGAGATTTCCAAGGAAGTTCTCTATCACTTTGGTATCTTTTGCTACTCTGAGTTGCCTTATGATCAAAGACATTGATTGAAACAGAAAGGAAATAGCATCAAAGGCAATAGGCTTGGGTGATTATAGTAAATGTGAGGTAATGAAATTTGTTTTAAATGTAACTAATGCCACTAATCTAAATATGTTGGTTTTCCATAGGCCAAAAGCGAGCTCCAAAAAGAGGAGAACAACAGGGTTGGAATGAAAACAGAGGTACGGACATAAAGCAAGATAAAGCTGAATGGAAACCTTTCAGGGAATACTGTCCTCATGAAATGGAAAGACAAGCAGAGTTTACATTTGAAAGGTATGTGCTATTGAAGGCATTATTATATGTCATAACTCTGGAAAATGCAAAATCAATTACTGTTCATCGAAGAAAAATTACACAAAAAATTAACATCTTGTTAACAATGAGAGATAGAATAGAATAGAATAGAAATCTTTATTGTCATTGTACTACTTGTACATCGAAATTAAATGCCACCCCAGTGCAGCTTTAAAAATATAAAAACCATAGAACACATAAAAC